TCCCTTTTCCTCTCTCTCTTTGGCAAGTCCACATACCCTATGTCAAAAACCTAAAAAAAAAAAAAAAGTCAATAGGAATTGATAAATGTGTAACACGGGTAAGAGATAAGAGTAAGAATAGTTTACAACTTGCTAGCCTGAGTTGGAGTTGGATAGGTAAATAGTAATGTAATTCACAAAGATATTGAGGAAAAGTAGGTAGAGCAGATTTGGGAAGGCTAGGTGAATTAATGAGTATATTAAACAGTACAGAGATTCAAGAAATACATGAAAAAATATTTTTCTGTGTCCCCTTTGGGAAGGCTAGGTGAATTAATGAGTATATTAAACAGTATAGAGAAACAAGAAATACATGAAAAATATTTTTCTGTGTCCTAAAAAGATATTGAACTTAGAAACAGATTTGGAAGAAATGAAGGTATGTAAATTTATAAAACCATAGAAATGGATGAATCAATTCGGAGATAATGTACAGAATGGGGAAAAGAGAGGATAGAACCCTGCTAGGTGAATTAATGAGTATATTAAACAGTATAGAGAAACAAGAAATACATGAAAAATATTTTTCTGTGTCCTAAAAAGATATTGAACTTAGAAACAGATTTGGAAGAAATGAAGGTATGTAAATTTATAAAACCATAGAAATGGATGAATCAATTCGGAGATAATGTACAGAATGGGGAAAAGAGAGGATAGAACCCTGGGATCAACAGCATAATGGAATGGGGAAGAAAGTGGGACTCTAGGTATAGAAGGGAGAACTGTCAGGTGTGAGGGAGTCTAATATAACAATGATTTTATACTGTTCGGTAATGTCAAGAAATTAGTAAAGAGGATCCTTTCAAGTGTACAGTTTCAAAATATAAGCAATTGAATGGTAAGAGTTTAAGAATTTCTCCCAAAGCAGCATATTTACTCTTATCTCTAAAGAAAACTAGATCTTTCCTAATTCAGACAAGTGGAAGTCTTATAAAAATAATTATTTCTAGGAAAGTAGATTTTCTTCCTTGCATTTAACTTCAGTCCTTTGTGTTGCAGTTTAAATCTCTCCATTCTCATGAAGATGGTAGCCAGATCTGGACAAAGTGATAACATATCAGAAATGGAGCTATGCCACCTGCTGCCCCTAAAGATGGCTTTATTTTTAAATTTTTAAATATTTTTGCTTAGGGTAAGGAGAAACTAAAACTTTGGTTTCTTTCCCCCTTTTCAACTCTAAGCCATTTATCATGGCCCTCAGTAATTCTAGCTGGAGGCTGCCTCAGCCTTTTTTCTTGATAGGTATTCCAGGTTTAGAAAGAAGCCAGCACTGGATAGCATTGCCCCTGGGTGTCCTTTACTTCCTTGCTCTAGTGGGCAATGTTACCATTCTCCTCATTATCTGGACTGACTCATCCTTGCACCAACCTATGTACCTCTTCTTGGCTATGCTAGCTGCCATTGACCTGATCCTGGCTTCCTCCACTGCACCCAAGGCCATTGCAGTGCTTCTGGTTCATGCCCATGAGATTGGGTATACTGTCTGCCTAATCCAGATGTTCTTCATCCATGCATTCTCCTCCATGGAGTCAGGTATACTTGTTGCCATGGCTCTGGATCGCTATGTAGCCATTTGCCAGCCTCTCCATCATACCACCATTTTGCATCCAGGAGTCATAGGGCGCATCGGGATGGTGGTGCTGGTGCGGGGATTACTTCTTCTCCTCCCTTTCCCTATCCTGTTGCAGAGACTTATCTTCTGCCAGGCGACTGTCATAGGCCATGCCTACTGTGAACACATGGCTGTGGTAAAACTTGCCTGTTCAGAAACCACAGTGAACCGGGCTTATGGGCTAGCAGTAGCCTTGCTTGTGGTTGGGCTGGACGTCCTGGCCATTGGCATTTCCTATGCTCTCATTCTGCAGGAAGTGCTGAAGGTACCAGGTGGAGAAGCTCGACGGAAGGCCTTTAGCACATGTGGATCTCACGTTTGTGTCATCCTGGTCTTCTATGTCCCTGGAATGTTCTCCTTCCTCACTCACCGATTTGGCCACCATGTACCTCATCATATCCATGTCCTTTTGGCCACACTTTACCTCCTTGTGCCCCCTGCCCTTAATCCTCTTGTCTATGGGGTGAAGACTAGGCAGATCCGCCAGCGAGTGCTCAGGGTGTTCTCCCGAAAAGGACAGATCTGAACACATTCCATTGTTTTTCAGAGGCTTCTGCCAAAAACACAACCAGGATCCCATGGCTGATCTAGGTTATAAGCACAGAGGCCATTCCACAGCGAGTAGACTGTTTAGTCCCACAAGTCCTATGGAAAAGAACACCCACAGGCACTTGGTTTCATAGCCTGTAGGGATGTACTCAGATAGCTGAATTTATGAATATTTCCTGCATCTTTTCTCTTGCTTTTGATGCCAACATTTCCCTAGTCCTTGTGTCAGATGGACTTGAGGATAGGAAGAATTGGAAGTCCCCACATCGGTGTGGTTTTAGTACATGGTTTCTGAAAAGTTGTTATTTTTTTCTATTTACACAAATTGCTGATATTTAGGATATACATATGATGGTGGAAACTAAAGCAGCTTTCTTGGCTCCCACGATGGAAATGTGAGTTGAAGATGGCAGAGCACAATATGGACGAGCATGCGTTCCTGATGCTGTCTGGGCCACCAATACTTCCTTAAACCTGGGACACAAATAAACTTGTATCTGGATCAAGTCACTATATTTTGGGGAATCTTTGTTGCGGCCAAACAATCTGTAGCCTAATAAGTACACATTTTAAATTTCTGATGTACAAATAGGATATATTGGGTTGTCCGAAAAGTCATGTCTTTTCTATGCACTTTTGCATAGAAAAATACATTATGATTTTTTTCAACAAAGCAATATATCCTCCTGCCTTATGTATATCTTTGAAAGTTTCCTTTTGTAAAGGTTTGTGAGTTTGGGGGGCCAGCAAGTGGCATGGTGATTGAGGTGCTGGATTCCCATATGGCTGACTACAGTTCAAGTTCCAGACCTGGTGGCTTATTTTCTCACTTTCACTCTCTCTTGCTCTCTGGTGAGAGCACACAAAATTAAAAAATAATAACAATAGTAAATAAAATAAAATAAATAATTCTTTTTTAAAAAACTTGTGTTTTTTGGTTGTATAATAATGTCTTAATTTTAGTCTCACTCAAATTTACTATCAGAAAGTTATTTACCTTTAAAATATATTTTATTTTCTATTGTGTCTGTAGTCTACTCTTAGCATTATTTATTCACATTGCTTATCTGTGCCTTTTTCTGTCTTCTTTACCTATGCTAAACATTGATCAATATTATAAAAATGTTTCAATATTCACACTGTGCAGCCATTCAGTCAAATGCTAGCCTGATCCTCCTTTGGATTAACTTTTTCTTGTCTTTTATGGTAACTCAAATTTACTATCAGAAAGTTATTTACCTTTAAAATATATTTTATTTTCTATTGTGTCTGTAGTCTACTCTTAGCATTATTTATTCACATTGCTCCTCCTTTGGATTAACTTCTTCTTGTCTCTTATGGTAACTCAGTTTCCTTTATTTTTCTATCACATCATTGAAAAGGACATTTATAAAATATTACATATTATTACATTTTTTTCTTGTGCATTCACTCTTTTTTCTAAAGAATTAGTTTTTCTACTTGTTTAAGTTTCTTCCTTTCTTTCCTTCCTCCCTTTCTTCCTTCTATTTGCTGGGAGATGTGTGTGCTTGTCTGAGAGAGACAGAGAGAAAATGGAGGTGAGAGGAGAAAGCACCTTACAATGTGTCTTTGTCGCATCATAATCCATTCTTCTCCATTGCTCCATCCCGTTGGGATTTGGGGCATGCACGCACACAGGCTGGCATGTCTTTCAAGCCACCAGAACTGAGACTGAAACCATATGGTTGGTTTTGTGAGATTGGCTCCCTTACCTACTAGGCCACAGGTCTGTCTTTTTCTTGATTCTCAATAGTTTTTCCTCTACTATCTGTAGATTCTCACTCTTACATGTTCTAGATGAGAATTAAATGGTTAGGTTGTGTGGACTGTAAAGGTCACCACTTTTGTGTCCTAATTGTTAGATTCTGTAGGTCATTGTGCAGGGATTTGCTACTCTAACATGCAGAATTCTCCTCAGGCTGTTAAGAGGAAAATAAAAAGGTGAGCTGAGCTCCCATGTCTTTGGCTGGAACAGAGAAGCTTTTATACCTGGGAGCAGAGATGAAACAGTAAAGTAGGCTGATCTGTGGAGCCGCTTCTCCATATTTTCTCTCAATTTCCAATGCAGAGAACCAAAGTTACCCTGGAATTACCTCTGATTTTATCTAGCCCCATTAAAGTGATAGGATTTGAACACTTTCATTGTATAAGGTGGAAAGTTCCTCGTTACTTTATGTGTACAGAACGCTAAACTGACCCAGTTGCCCTGGCAATTATAGAATAATTACCCCATTAATTCACAAATGGACTGTTTTCACTTTTGTTTCTATTGATTTTCAGCTTGGAATACTTCCCAGGGCTCTTAATGAGAACATTTTTTGTTTCTGCAACAAATTTAACTTCTCAAATTACTCTTTCCTTAACTAATAATCCTACCCTTCATACACATATAGCTACATTGATTTGTAGGTTTCTTTATTCTAGTTTTATAAAAGCAAATCTAATTCAATCTGATTTATGAATTCCAGAAATCTCTCAGTTTATCTGGTTCAATCCTAGCATACTTTTCCATATTGTAGTACAGTTACTAAATTCTTTTTTTTTTATTATTTTTTTAAAGATATTTAATTGAAACGTTGGGAGTGAGTGGGAGTAAATTATGCTTTCAGTCCTATGTCTTGAGTCAAAATTATTACAAGTTTAATTTAATTTTGTGATACTATTTGTGTTTTTATATATGTTCTAGGCTAGGTCGTAGGTTCCAAAGAAGTGGGTGTCTTATGTTTCATGTATTTCTCAAGATCAAGCGCCTGTCACACTTGTCAACATAACAAACCTCTTTAATAATAATTATAATTATTTGTGATACCAGTGTCAATGAGTACCTCTGCCGTGATTGTCTTATATTTTATCCCATTTATGTTAAGAGAATGCTCATGAGAAATTAAAGAAGGCTCAAAGTAATAATAGTCAGGAACAAATAACTTTTATAGACTGGATTTCCTAGTAAATAATGACTGGAAAAATATAGGCAGGACCAGAAGACAAAGAGATCCTCAACTTCTTTCTCTTCTGTCCAGATCCCTGTTCAGACCTCTTTTTGCTCTTTTCTTATATGTGGAGAGGAAGAGATTTGACTTGAAAAATTAGACTCTAAATATGACCACCCACCCATCTGCAAGGAGGACTGCAGGGCATAAGCTAAGCCACAGCAGAATGTAACATGGAAAAAAGAGAAGGACTGACTTCCAGGTCTCTCTGAAAAGCAGAGGGGTCGTGCGCTTTTATCCAGGTGGGCTTATGGTTTTCAATTCGAAGCAAAAGGGTGTCCACTACTGTTCTTACAGATCCACTAGCACGCAGCAAAACAGGTTGGGACAGTGTTTTGCTTGTGAAACATGTTACTTCATCTTTGCATCTACTGCTCCCAACCATCACTGTCCAGTTGTCTCAGTGAACCTTCTTCCCAAATGGAATGGCAAGCAAAGGGAAGATAGAAGGGACGAGAGAAGTATGTTCAGTCCTCTCTATCCACAGGATTCACACCCTGATGGAAAATATTACACTGTGATGACATGTGCTATGTACTTAGGTCTATGATTGTTTCTTCCATACTGAATATGTGCTGTCCTACTTTCCCCTTATCATTATTGCTTGACTAATATAGTACAGCTGTTTACATAGTATTGTATTAGGATTATAAAAGATGATTTAAAGTAAACAGGAAGGGGAGATATGTACAGGTTATTTGCAAATACTATGCCATTTCATACAAGGACTTTAGCATCTGTGGATTTTGATCCTGGAACCAAGCCCTCTGGCTCATACTGAGGAACAACTGTATTTGCTCCTATAATGTCCTCCTTGTAGTGAGAGGAAGGAAAGCTTTTTTTTTTTTCTCTGAAAATATAAGTGTGGGAAATAAGGTTCTTCCTTAATAGGCATATGTTGGTTTCTTATCTTTTGTGTGAAGGAACTTAGGCCCTGTTGATAATGTTACGTGCGTGTTGAGAAGTCATAGGAATGAGCAGGACAATTTTATTTATTTATTTACTTTTAGTGCTGGATCATAAAATACATCTTAATAAGTTTTAAAAGAATATAGTACTGAATATATTCTCTTACCAACACATAATTAGATTGGAAAGCAATAATAATAAGTTAGCATAAAAAACTCTAAACAGTTGGAAACAAACTAACACATTAAGTAACCCATGGATTAAATAGGAAAATGCAGGACCAGCAGGTGTTATCGTAGTCAAGTCACTGGTCTCCCACATGGCCAACTGTGGTTTTAGCCCTAGACCTGATGACTTGCTTTCTCATGGTCTCTTTCTCTCTCTTTCTGTCTTTCCTAGTGAGTGCATGTGCCCTGTGGCAAATTTAAAAACAATGATGCAAGCAAGGAAAGAATGGGGAAATATATTCAAAGTGTTAAAGAACAATTTCAATGAAGAATAATATACCTGGCAAGATTATCCTTCATATGGGGGGAAAAAAAGACAAAAATATTCTGGGATACACAAAATCTGAAGGAATTTACCAACTCCAGACCAGCTTTTCAAGAAATCCTGAAAGGAGTGCTATATTAAGAAAACTAAAGACAGACAGATACAAATAAGAGAACAACAACAATAACAACAAGAAACAACAACCAAGAATGTTAGGAATAGCTTAATGCTAGGAACAAGTCTGGAAATATTGATAATAATGTTGAATGTTAATGGATTAAATTCTCTTATCAAGAGACACAGACTGACTTAATGGATTAAAAAATCAGAAACCCTCCATCTGCTGCCTACAAGAAACTTATCTCATGGATAAAGACATACATAGATTAAAAGTGAAGGGCTGGAAAAAGGTATTTCATGCAAATGGAAACCAAAAAAGAGTGAGAGTAGTTATACTGATTTCAAACAAAATGAGCTTTAAGACAAAAAATGTAAGAAGAGACAAAGAAAGGCATTATATAGCAGTAAAAGGTCTAATTCATCAAGAAGATATACTTATAAATAT